TTCCCAAGCACCTGCGCGTTACCCCTGGCTAGCCACTGGAGGGCGCCCACCGACTCCCCGTCAGCTCAGCCTCAGGTTCACCTTCCCTGCTTTTGGGGCTGGGAGGGTGGGGCAGAGGGGTGACAGAGTCCCCCCTCTGCCCCACCCTTGCCTTCCCCTCGTGTTGACTCTGGAGTCCCCAGTTCCTGAGATCTTCTCCGTAGTGTCAATCTCTGAATCATCCGCCTACTGAGGCAGCCCTTCCTGTATCTCTGGCTCTGTGGGACCCCATCCCTGGGGGGCCTCAGTCCTGGTGCCCCTCCCCAGTGTACCCCAGCCCTGTCTCCCTTCCCCCAGCAGTCCCTGCCTCTGCCTGTCTACCCCCGGGGGAGAGCCCAGCCCTGCTTAAGACCCCAACCCAGATCCTCACCGCTCTCCCTGGAAGCATTGATCTGCCGGGCCAGCCGGGCCTGGATCCGGCTGCTTGCTACATTAGTATCGATCTCCCTGGCTTTTCCCTGGGCTGCTCAGTCCAGGGAGGGTCAGGGCCACTCGGGAACCTGCTGGTGGCTGGAATAGGCTTTGGGGTAACAGAGCAATCATCCTACTAGGGCCCAACAAGCCCACGGGTCAGGATGCCCTTAACTGGAAACAAGTAGTTTCTCCTGGTATGATCTCTCCAGTGCCCAGTGGCAGGGTTTACAGGCCAACTCCCCCATTTTACAGATTAGGTCCTCAGGCTCAGAGGGGAAGAAACTTGTCGACAGAATTTATGTACATACATACATATATATATATATTTACTTATTTTTGAGTCTGGTTCTTACTCCCAGGGTGGAGTGCAGTGACATGCTCACAGCTCACAGTAGCCTCAACCTCCTGGGCTCAGATGGTCCTTCTGCCTCAGCCTCCTGAGTACCTGGGACTATAGGTATGCCACCAGATCCAGCTAATTTATTATTATTATTATTTTGTTGTTGTTGTTGTTGAGACCAGGTCTTGCTATGTTGCCTAGGCTGGTCTTGAATTCCTGGGCCCAAGCAATCCTCCCACCTCAGCCTCCCAAGGGCTGGGATTATAGGCATGAGCCTCAAATGGCCTCGAATGAATCTAAATGAATGTCTAGCCTGGGGTCTCTCTGGGAAGGAGCTGACTAGACCAGGGTGTCTCTGGCCTGGGTTTCTTACTCCCAATGCTCTGACTTCAAGTGCCTGGCAGACTCAAAGAGATAAAACCACGCCAGAGTCTTCAGAGGCCCCAGATGGCCGGTCACTGGCCTTCTTCTCCTAAGGGCGACAGGATGGCCCCCACCCAGAAGCCCAGGTTAGTCTCCCCAGCTCCGCGGGCCCGACGGAAAGAAGTTAAACATGCACAGAGCAGGAGCCCGGACACCTGGGTGACCCAGGCACTTCCCCACCCTTGGCCCCAGCTCCCCATTGTGTTAAATAAAGCCAAGGTTCCTCAACAGATTCTGCAGCTCTTCAAATCCAAGCCATGGCCTCTCAGAGACAGCAGGTCTCTCCTCTCTCTGCCACCTCTGGGCATCTCGCTCCTGTCCCCGCTCACCCCAGTGCCTAGGCACACGAGAGGTGAGCCCTGACCTCAGAAGGCAGTGAGGGGTTAGTCCCTGCACCCCCCTGTTCAAGCCTGCTCAGCGGTCCCTCCCCTCTGCCACTGGGTGAGACTTGTGGGACTGCAGTCACAAAGCAGGGCAGGGAGCTCCACGCCTCCCCTCTGCCTGCTCCAGCAGCTGGGACCTCGCCCTGCCATAATCTGCCTGGAAGAGCCTGGTGATCCGCCCCCCCCCCCAGTCACTGCCTCCTGAGGTCACTGCAGGCTAGTATGCTGTTTTCCTTACCCCAGACATGCTGAGATTCCCCCCAGGAGTTAGGAAGGAGGCACTGGAGGGAGGTGGGGGTGGGGGGAACTGAGGGCTCTTTCCGGTCCAGGAGGGAAATGGCTGGAAAATGAAAACTGGAAGCCAGCCAGGTTCGGTGGCTCAGCCTGTAATCCCGTGCTTTGGGAGGCCGAGGTGAGTGGA